CGCGCATTCCGGTGAAATTGAAAGATTTCGGCTATCGAAAATGAGTTTAATGAGTTTGTATTATGTGATGTTAGTATGGAGCAATTTTCTAAGATTCTAATATAAGTTTGTTCATTTTCATTTATGCATTTTTATTGTATGTATTTTTGCTCATTTTAATTTCAATTTGCTCATTTGTGAAGGATATGAGCATAACAACATGTATTAAATTAACCTTGTGAACTATCTACTTCAAAAATAGGTAGAAAATGAAGTGCATAATATAAACTAGTATACAGCTGGTCTCTTATGGTCCAACAATTGTTTACAATTATTTTAGAATTGTTGCTCATTTGATAAATGAACAAAGAATAGTTGCTTATTTGATAAATGAGCAAACAAAACAAAGAAATATTGTTTGCTCATTTAATAAATGAACATAGAATTATTGCTCATTTATCAAATGAGCAAATATTATTTGCTCATTTATCAAATGAACAAAAAGTATTTGATCATTTGATAAATGAACAAATAAATGTTGCTCATTTGATAAATGAGAAAAAAAATAAAAAAATAAAAGAATAAAAAAAAATAATTATTTTTTTTTTTTTGGCTCATTTGATAAATTATCAAAGAATTGTTGCTCATTTGATAAATGAGCAAATAATTGTTTGCTCATTTGATAAATGAGCAAATAATTGTTTGCTCATTTGATAAATGAACAAATAATTATAGCTCAAAATGAGCCAAACAAAAAAAATATAAATTACATTTTTGCCATTACTATATGAGTCATCTCAACAATTGGATCATGAGGTATCCAATGGATGAGATTTGTTCTCATATATAATAGGGTTCTCACATATAGACCTATTCTCACCGATATATATATATATATATATATATATATATATATATATATATATATATATACATATATATATATATATATATATATATATATATATATATATATATATACAAGATCATGTGAGAACCTAGGTCTATAATAGGAACTATGAACTCATTTGGACTATTGATCGCGCTCAATCTAACGGCTCACATTCCACCCGCCTCATTAAGGGCATTTTTGTAATTTCACACGTTGAATGACATTCGTCCTAACTCATGCGCCGCTTTATTTTCTTTCTCTCTCTTCTTTGGACTTTCTCTCTCCTCCTTCCAATTCTTTGAAGGGCGATATTTTCCTTCGAATTTGCTCATTGATTTTTTGACTTCGCAAATTGATTTCCTCAAGTTATTCGATTTTTTCATCAACTTTCTTCGATTTTCTGTTATTTATCGTTTCAGAAGAGGTAATAATTTTGATTTTGTGCATTTTTTTTATTCTGTTGTATTTTATTCAATTAGGGGTTTTTTTTTTTTTGTTTTAGGAATAATTAAATTCTGCGAAATTGTAGTTCTTTTTTGTTTTCTTGAATCAGTTTAATTTATTAATTTGAGTTACAAGTTTGCTTTCGATTTTGTTACGATTAATTCGAGTGTGAATTTAGGGTTTTTTGCTATATATTGTTTGATTAATCTATGTTTTTTGCTGCATCTTATCTTTACACCTTGCTGATCTCTTCGTCAAGTAAGTTATTTGTTTGATTTCTTTAAATTTGATTGATTTTAGAGGTTTTATTTGATGTTCTAAAACTAGGGTTTTTATCGAATTTTGTGCTTAATTTGGTTTTCAATTGTATTTGTCTCTAATCATTCTTATTTATTGTTGAGTTTTTATTGATTTTGATTCTATTCCTAGATGTTTGAGTGGTTATATGCATATTGCAGCTTGTAATAAGCTAAAACTAGATGGTGGGGATGGGATATTAGCTAATTTTGCAGAATTTGGGGGAATTACTGTTTATTTTTCAATGTATGATAAGTAACAAATATTCTAGAAATTGGGATGTTCATTCTCGCTTTTTGTCTCATTAATTTTTGTAAGACAAATAAATTATAGCGATTTCCCAGAGTTGAGTCGTGGATGGAGGTTCGGGTAGTTTCATCTGAATTAATGCCATGGCATTGCTTTGTGGCAACAATGAGTTGTTATCAGATGTTAGGTCAGTTTAACTAAGATGGTTTATGGTTTAAGTCCATATACTTCGAACGACCCAATGAATACTTATGTCATGTTGTTGGTTAATGGGCTGATGTAAAGTTGTTGTGTGGGGCTACTGTCTAGTAGAAGCAGCAAATGTATTGCATATGTTGATATTTGTTGATTGATTACTGAGAATTGGATGAGTGTTTCATTGCAGCTATATAGGACTATGGGTTAGATTGTCATATTGATGGCTTTATTATTGTTGTTGCACACACTAATGTCACTCAAGATTTCAAAAAGGCCTTGTAACTAGCAGAATATCTGATGTTCTGATTGCAACCAACATTACTGGTGAAGTTACTTTGAGGCTTGTGATGCTTAGGAAGAAGGTATGATCTTGTCTTTGCTCATTTTATTATTGTTAACTTCAATTAAAAAATCAATCATGTCTTGTTTATGACTTTATTTTTCCATGGCCTTGAGTCTTTGATTTGTGTGGGTTTTATGAGAGGAAGCTGTGTTTCCGGTAGCACGTGCTTAGATGCTTCAGTAATAATGCATAAAAACAAGGTATGCCTAAACTGTAAGACTTTGGCTCCTATTCTCTCTTGCAGGACTACAATATCTCCTTATGTTCATTACTTAGTTATGATTGCTACTGAGAAAGTTGTACAATTCTCATTTTCGGCTATTGATATACGAGGCAGCAATAAGAGGTCTGCGTCCAATTGAAGGTCTATACCATGTCCAGTTTCCATTTGTAGATTCTCATGAAACATGGATCACTCACTTGTCTCTCTGGAACCTCCAAGGCTTCTAAACTGGAAATTTCATCTGGTCTTAGCAACTGTTTGTGAAGTTGCTAATGTTGTCTTTTGCTCATTTATTATTGTCAACTTTATATACACTAGCCTACTAGCACAAAAGGTAGAGTATTGTGCAAATGCACAAAAGATGTGGGTTCGAATCCCACGCAGGTTCATTTGTATTTACTTTAAGAGATATTTTACTTTAACTTATTTTGTATCTACTTTTATTACTAGAAACTCAAGGTCACTTATATAAGGATTAAAAATATGAACATGTTGGTAAACTAATATGAACAGTTGTCGTTGCCCCATGCTCTAATTTGACCAGTGTTTTTAAGTTTACTAATTTACTTTTGAGTAGATGTAATTTACTTTTGAGTGAATACTATTTACTTTTGAGTTAATATTATTTACTTCTGAGTTAATATTATTAATTTACTTTGATGTTATTTTAAGGGCTATGTTAAACATCACCCTCGTTTTACATACTAATGCCCGCATTTTGTCTTGAACAGACTATTATGCCCCTTTCCTTCTCACTCTCATCCATCCCCCTCTCCTTCTCACTATCATCCATTGAGGCACATACTCTTAATTCTCCTGGCTAACTAGCTAAACACCTTTCTCCTCCATTGCAGGAGCTTCTGTGCTTTCTCCACCATTAATGCACCACCATCTCTCCCACTAACCACTAATACCACCGCCATCACCATCTCATCACTAGCCACCACCACAAACACCACCAGCCACAAGGTCACCACCACCAGTAGCAGCTTTTAGAATTTTATTTTTTAAAAAAAAATAGAGAAGCCACCCAAATATTTCATAACCTGTAGGTGGAAACGTCTGAATTTTTCGTTCCCACCTACGGGTTACGAAATCTTTACGTGTTTCCAACAAAATGCCTATAGATTTTGTAGTCCACATATGGGAACGAAATTTTTGGCTTTTCCAATTGTGGGTTTCGACATTTTGAGGCATTTCCTGACCACTTTTCTTCCCTGAACTGTTGATTTTGCTACCCACTAATGCCTCGTGAAGACTTAGCTTGTAATTCTAATCCCCCAATTTAATTGTTTGTTAATTTTGTTGTGATTAAGGACTTCTTTATAATTACATTTATGTATAGTATGTGAAAAAGATCAGCAATTTAAGTTTTTTGCAGATATCAATCATATAATACGGAGTATAAATTTGGTATTAGTGTATTGGACTGATTGTGTGTTTGATTTTAGGATTTGCAATGTATTGTGTGTTAGTTTTAGAAAATAATAAAGGATGCTTTAATGGAGGAGAAAGCCCATAAGCTAATTCTAATGAAGAGTTCAGAGTAGGTGCTTCAATGGATGAAAGTTAGGAGAGGGGCAAAATGGTATATTTGAGTTGTGGGCGTTAGTATGTAAAATACGGGCGACGTTTAGCATTCCACTAGTTTTTTAAATTTACTTTTAAGCGCTTCTGATTTACTTTTAAGCTATTATGATTTACTTTTAAGCGCTTCTGATTTACTTTTAAGCTATTATGATTTACTTTTGAGATATAATTATTTACTTTTGATTTCTTTTCGAGCTATTTTAAATTACTTTAGAGATGTTTTTTGAATTAATTTTTAATTTCTCTGTTTACTTTTAAGTTTGATTTACATTATGGATTTTTTTATTTACTTTTGAATGTTATGTAGACAATATTTCTAACTAGACAATACCTTTTTAATGCATCATTTATTTATGATATTACAGAAAGGTGAGATTGTTGGAAGTTGAAATAGAGCTTAGTTTTTGACATGTAGCTTATTTACTAGTACATATACTTCTATTCTTTTGATATTTACTTTTGACTTATTTTGAATAACTTTAGAGTGTCTAGAAGTACATAAATATTTATTAAAGTAGATTTACTAGAGTGTTTTGAAGTATATGAAGTTATTCAAAATAAGTATATGTACTTTTAATAAAGCTTGATTTACTTTTAAAGGCAATAACCTATGTAGGAATCGAACCTACAACTCTATACATTTGCATAGTGCTCTACCACTTGATCTAATAGGTTTACTTTAAAGTCTTTTTCATTCAATTTATCTACCACCTATCTAACCTCACTAGAAAACCGATAAACCTAGCATATGCTTGAGTGATTACATGGATAGAAACGCAACATAGTTTTTTTTTTTTTTTTTTTTTTTTTTTTTTTTTTTTTTTTTTTTTGCATAGATTGGCTACCGAATGACTGGAAGTCTAAGCTTTATTAAATCAAGATATCAATGTAAGAGCACATCCAGGGCAATGCGTACACTCCAACGATTACATTTAGCGACTGTAAGTTTCAATAGAATACCTTGGAAAAGTTCTCTGCAACTTCTTTTTGTTTCAGGCTAGCCACTGAAGTATCACACTAACAAGATTGGCCATTTGTGCATATAAAACTAGCTGCCTCTCATCAATCTCAGACATATCTTCAAGGAAATATGGTTAAGAAAAACATCAAAGGTTAGAATAAGATTGTGTTAAGAGGTTGGGTTGATAAAACTAAAGTACCCATGAATTCCAGCACATTTTCTTAGTCAATAATTACTTTACTTCCCAAATCACACAATCCCACCCACAAACATAGTCTCTCCTTTCCCAGTCACAAGAAGCCATTATGACTTACCTAAGATCAACTAACATACAAAACAAAACTACCTCTTGTTTACTGTGATCGCGCTATACGTCCCACGTCAAAAACAAGACAAAAACAACTCAAAATAAAAAAGATAAATAAAACTCAAATGATCAACATGAATTAGCATTCGGATGAACAAAATTGCCTCAAAATCATCTTCTTAAAGGCTGTAGCTATTCAAAAATGGATGATCAAGACCAACAAGACCAACATTTAATTCTACCTTAGCTAATTTAATTGCCACCAAAGCTAGACTAGATTGATCACAACCATATCCAGTAAAATAGATTGCACACCAGACTTATTGCTTATTTTGTATCAATTTTTTTCCAATAATAAAACATCCGCTACAATAAAGCAAAAGGAAGCACATTGTTGAGGAGTAGATGCATTGTTGTAATAGTGCAATATTAATCTTAAGGGAGTGGACAATCGATATGCGTTGTAAAATTCAGGATTTAACCCACTCCCTACCAATGAATTAATTTACTTTTAAAGTGATTTAATTTACATTAGCATAGTTGAAGTATACTTTAACACATTTAGTCACCAAATTATACAAGTAGCATCCAAAATTTACAAAGAACATAAACACCAAGAACAAGAACAAGATACTAGAAAATTCTCACAAGTTCAAACTCCACCATTCATTATTATACAAGTAGCATCCAAAATTTACAAAGAACATAAACACCAAGAACAAGAACAAGATACTAGAAAATTCTCACAAGTTCAAACTCCACCATTCATTAAAATAAAAAAATAAATAAATAAATAAAAACCCAACAAAATTTACCAATTAATACCTGATTTTGAGCTCGAATTTACAGATTGAGTGAGAACTAAGCTTTGTGAAAGAAATCTTTCAGCAAATCCCCAAATTTAAAAATTAAAATGTAGTCTTCGAATCTCCAATAAAATCGCCCCAAAACCCCCAAATTTAAAATGTAGTCTTCGAATCTCAATTTTTCATTTGCACATTTGACAGAATCTATCACATAAATAGAACAAAATTTATTACTTAATTGCAACGTTCATCTTCACATAAATAAATCAGAATTTATATTGAACAACAAAAAAAGGGGGGGTCGATATTTGAATTGTATCACAACACTTATTTTTTTTCAGTTTTAATCAAATTTTCATCAAAATTTTATACATTACGAAAATTGAACCAAAAACCAGTTAAAGAAAGCAAAAAAAACCTTACATAATTGTAATTATACTTGCGTTCAAAAATAAATTAAGATAAAAAATGTTTTACCTAATTTGTATCGAAAAATTACACAAATCTGGGTTCAAATTGTAGATTTCAAGACGATGATGAGTTTCAGCAACATGAATTTCAAAAATTCGCGTTGAATTGATAAGATTTGAGCTTCAACGATCAAATGTGAAGAGTTCAAATGTTGTTATTGAGAGAGGAGAGAGAAAATGGGCTTATTTGAATGTAGAGAGAGAAATGACGCTCTCAATTTTTGGGAAGGAATTAATATTTTTGATTTAATCTTAGCAGTCCATTTTATTATAATTTGATGGCTGATATTAGTTCCTAGCTCTTATTACAGGAGAGGTTCTCATTATAACTTGGTCCTATTTATATAGGAAATTTTGTCAACAACTACCAATTTAAGTCTCTGTTTTGAAAACAATTACCTTTTTAAAAAAAATTTAAAAACAACTACCACAAACTAGTAAAAAGTTAGAGTAGCACTACTACTCTTAAATTTCCGGCAAGAATCTCCGGTGAGTGGGTCCCACTTTCTCCCTTTCCCTCCAATTTGACCATCCGAAATTACCTAATTACCCCTGACCCAACTACCTTCCCTTCTCTTCATTGAATTCCCGCTTAACTCCCCTATACTCTCCCTCATCTCCATTTTCAACAACCTCTGAAATTCACAGAGAATATTCTCACCTCACACTTTAATCTAGCTTAGGTCATTGAATTTGCCCCACTGTTCCTCACGTTTTCTCTCTCTGTCGCGATGGTTCAAACTTTCAACCAAATTGGAGTTGTCGATTCTACTTTGGGAAAGCTGGAGCTTTAATGGAGAAGGGGAAGATGGTGACAGCTGCTTGAAGGACAAATCCCACTTAAAATCCATTCAATTTACCCAAAATGCAAAAAATTGTGAAACCCTAATTTTTCCAATTTTGAGTCATTAAGAACCCTAATTAGCATATAAAATTCTCAAATTACCTGATGTAATGTTCCAGAAATTATCCCTCTTGCTCAATTGTTGAAAAAGGAAGAAATTTGGAGGAAAAAATTAGGAAATTTTGTTCAATTGGAAAACGAACATTAGCTGTTATATAGAGAGGAGAGAGAAACAAAAATTGGAGGGAAAGGGAGAAAGTGGGACCCACGCACCAGAGATTCTTGCCAGAAATTTAAGAGTGGTAGTGCTACTCTAACTTTTTACAAGTTTGTGGTAGTTGTTTTTAAAAAAAAAATTAAAAGGTAGTTGTTTTCAAAACAAAGACTTAAATGGTAGTTGTTGACAAAATTTCCATATATATATAAAATAAAATAATTAGTGATACATTTACTCCTCACATAAAGTACTAATTAACAATTAAATTTAACAACATTCCAATAAATATTAACGATGCAATTAAACAATAACATACATTAGTGACACATATACTAATTAATTATAAAATGTGTAAAATAAGAAATGATAATTTAAGTATTTTGCAAATATTGAAATTTCAACATTTTTTTTAGGTTAAACTACTCACATTCAAACTCATATAAGAATATTGCGTAGTAAAAAAAAAACACATAAGAAAAAAAAAACAAAAAAAAAAACATGCGTAGTATTATCTACACGGGAGAAAAGGTAAAATTGGTAAGAGTTGGCGAGGAGATTCAAAACCACATTCTTTGTGTCATTAGTTCTCCTTGGTTTGCATACTTAACCATCTCTGCTAGCTTGTACTTGGATGTAACTTAAGAAAATTTTATGCTTTTAATTAACTATATTCTGATTTTGGGGCACAAAAAAAATGAGGCCCTATGCTATTAGGCTGTTTGTACAACCTAATAGTCCCTGTCAAGCTGCATAAAATCTGTACCATGCCCAAACTTACATAGCCAAGCGATGACTCAACTTATATTCAAGTGCCAAGCCGCCTATGGTCGAGCATTCAAGTGATGAAATGTCTATAGTTCACCGGTCGTAGGAAAAAGGAGGCGTAAAAGCCTAGTTTAATTTAGCGGCATTCTTGCCGAGCTGCCTAATGCATGTACAGTATCAAGGCTGAAATAAAGGGGCATGGACAAGCCGCTCAAGGAAAAAGGGAGAACCTTGTTGTTTGGAAACCTCCCCCTAATGGTTATATCAAATTAAATTGTGATGCTTCTCTTTATGTGGATGGCTCGGAGGGTCTACGGATCATGGCTATTTAGTTCGTAGGCACTAGAAGATCAGAGGGTGAATGGTCTCCCGAAATCGTAAAGTAGAAGGCATTACTCTCTGCTGCTCATCTAGCTTGCAAGTTTGGGCTCAAGGATGTCAACTTTGAATCAAATTGCAATTGCATCATCTCAAGACTATCCAAGCCTTCTTTCTTCCTCTCTAGACTCCTTGCTTGAAGATGTTATGCAAGTGTGCTCTTCTTTCTCCTTTGTTTCTTGGTCTCATGTAAAGCAGGAAGACAACTATGTTGCTCATCATTTAATCCATTTAGTTCCCATTGGTTTTGAGCAAGTGTGGCCTAACCATTGTCCTAATAAATGTAGCCCTGTATGTAGTTATGGACAATTTGTAAGCAGATCAATGATGGCTCTCTTGCTTGTCCTTAAAAAAAAGGAAATTTTGTTCAGAAAAACCTTTTAAAGAGAACTTTTTGTTCAGAAAAACCTTTTTAAAATTTTTTGGCCTGGAGAAACCTGTTCATAAATTATTTTTGGTGAGGACAACCAAGTGACACTTTCCGACGTTGACTCGCCTTTTTCCTACATGTGTGTCACGTGTCTCCTATTTTTCTAATCACACACCCTTTTCCTAATTCCACTCTATTTTCCCTCCAATTAAACACTCTCTCACCCCTCCTCTCTCTCCTCTCTGTGAACCAACCATTGTTGGAGTTCAGTCAATTCGAAGCAATTGAAGGCTTTCTCAACAAATTTCGACAAGAGGTAAGTGCTTAATTTATCAATCTCTCATGTTTTCGATAGTTGATAAAAAATTAGGGGTTTCCCCTCCCCCCTTTTTAAAATTTCTCAATTATGCAGCAATTATGGTTCGAGGTGGTGATTTGAGGTGTGGGTGTGGCCATCCTATGGCGAAGAGGACTTCATGGACACAACAGAGCAGAAGAGTAAAGTATCAATGCTTAGTTTACAGAAAGAAAAGAAAGAATCGATTTTTAAATTATTCTAAATTTACTGTTTTTGGGTGGGTGTAAATTGAATGCAGGTTCACATCATCACTGATGATGTAGTAGTCATGTTAGAGAAGAGATTAATTGCCTCGATGCTTGTTCATAGAGAGGAGAGAGAGTGTTTAATTAGAGGGAAAATAGAGTGAAATTAGGAAAAGGGAGGGGGGTGTGATTAGAAAATAGGAGGCACATGACATGCACACGTGGGAAAAAGGCGAGTCAACGCCGAAAAAAGGCGAGTCAATATCGGAATGTCCCACTTGGTTATCCTCAACAAAAAAATTTTAAAAACATGTTTCTCCTAGCCAAAAAAAATTTAAAAGGTTTTTGAACAAAAAATTTTCTTTAAAAGATTTTTCTGAACAAATTTTCCAAAAAAAAATTCCATGTCTTCACACTTGCTTCCCGTTGTTGCAATATTAGGCGAACCAAGGAAGTAATAAAACAATACTCTCGAGTTGAGTTAGACTCCTTGGAAGTTTTTTTTTGTTTGGCATTTCAAAGATCATGGGAGTGCACGGTCTATGGGATCTCCTCGCTCCGGTGGGCCGCCGTGTTTCCGTCGAAACTCTCACCGGGAAACGCCTTGCAATCGGTACTTTCTCTCTCCTATTTCATCCTTTTCCCTCTTTCATTTCTCCAAACCCTAATTTTCTGAAAAATTCAATTCAGATGCTAGCATATGGATGATACAATTCATGAAAGCGATGCGCGATGAACGAGGTGAAATGGTGAGAAATGCTCATATTCTAGGGTTTTTCCGCCGCATTTGCAAGCTTCTCTTTCTTCGTACGAAGCCGGTGTTCGTGTTTGATGGCGGAACACCGGCTTTGAAGCGGAGGACTGTTATTGCGAGGCGGAGACAAAGGGAGAATGCTCAGGCGAAGATTCGAAAGACTGCTGAAAAGTTGCTTTTGAATCATGTATGTTTTGCTGCATTGGTTTGTTTGAATTCCTTGAATTTCAGTTTTTATGTTGTTAATTTATTTGAATTATTTGGAATTTTGTAGTTATAATTGTCAATTTTAGTAATTGTATTATCGGAAATCGAATATTATCCTAAATTTTACTTTCAAATGATTATGTATTGAATAATTTATTGTGTTTTTGTTATTGATGTTAAGCCATTGTTGTTGCCTTGCAGGTTAAAGCAATGAGACTGAAACAATCGGCTGATAATCTCCAGAATCAGAAAGAAATGGACAGTGCTAAGGGTAAAGAGGTTGTGTCGGAAAAATCTGACGCGTCGAATAAAGACGAGGCAGCATTGGAAGGTCACAATCAGGAAATGATAGATGAAATGTGAGCGCTTTATTGATGTTTAGTTGTTTCTCCATGAATTATTTAAACTTAGATATGATAAGGATTTTGTAAAGTGTTTCGATTAGTTAAACAGGTTGGCTGCATCAATACTAGCAGAGGAGTCTGGTGAGCTTGGCACTGCATCAAACTGTGCTGCTGAGATTGGTAGCTCTAGTGGCAATGCATCTACTTCTGCTGCAGCGTTTCCCAAAGAAGACGAGGAAGATGAATCGGATGAGGAGATGATGCTAGTGCGTTCTTCTTAACCTTTATATTATTGACAAATAAAAGTTTCCCTCTATTTTATGGTGAATGAGAATGTGTATGTGTGTGTTACTCCCTCTATTTTCTAATAGTTATTCCAGAAAACTTGAAATGTTACCAGGACTTTGACCATTAATATCTTTAAATGACTTTTCATTAAATTTAATAAAAGGTTGATATTTTGAATATCTACATTAAGACAATTTTATAAGATTTTACATATGTTGGTTAAAAAAGTTGGTCCAACTAATCGTTTTATCTTAGTAATTTCTTTGGATTCTTTCCCTAAACAGTTCATCATACAATGTGATTTATGGATTATGATATCTAGCAAATCAGAGGAAGATTATATTGCTGTGGCCTGTGGTACACATCTATGAGTTTCAACCTTACTAAATAACTTTCAGCTATCAACTTAGATTCATATTATGTTTTGATCAAGGATTACTCTTTGAGGTACAAAGTTATGTGTTCCTTATTGTAGTCTTGTCAGTTACTGACAACTGTCAAGTCAATAACTAGGCTTGGCCCTGTCTTGATTTAGTATTAACTTGTTATGATGATTGCTGACTTTTGCATATATTTATATTTTAGAGTGATGGCTTTGGCTAACAGCTTGTTTATCCAGGGTCACTTGCCAAGGTCTTTGCCTCGAACAAATCTTGTTTGGAAATGTCAAGTCTCACATAGGGTGAAACTTTTGGTTCGACTGCAGCATAACAGCATTGAATAAAATAAAAAATCAATACTAAATTGCTAATTAGAAGGATAATTTGGTTCTTTCTGATAGTATGCCTATGTTTAACGATAACAAAATTAGAATCTATCTGAATCTGCATGATGCTGTGGTCTATCTGTTCCTATGTAAGTTTTAGAAGATGCAAGCAGGAGAATAAATTTGCTTAGCTGGGACATTCAAGATTCTACTCGTGTTATTTTGGACTGTGTTGCAAAATGAGTGAAAGACTTTTTATGAGGTGCTTTTATGGATTTTGAGGTTGGTAACCATTTGGTTTTTGTTAAGATCAAGGTACTTTAAACAGAAGCATAACAATTTCTGGGTTAAGTGGGTTTGTAATAATTTGGTAAGCACCAGATCTAGAAAGATTATTAGGCTCCAGCAAGTGGATATAGAAGTGTTTGTTAGGTGAAATCTGAGTGGCCGCATATTTGCAGGTTAGTCAGTGGATAAGTGCTCAGTATTATTATGTAATTAAGAATGTTTACCAACCATTAATTGCTTTTTGGAGAAGCATTGGTTCAAGGGATTGTGGAATAGAATGATATGCCAAAGCACAGGTTCATCACATGATTGCTGTGCAGGAGAGGCTTCAAACATTGGATAGGCTGCAAAGGATGAGTATCGGTATACAGGAACTTTCTTAATCTATGTAAATTTGTGGAGACCCATTCACACCTGTTGTTTGGATTTGTGTATATTAAGGGGTTTATTTTTGGCGTCAAGCATTAGTGAGGGATTAAAACCATTAATAACCAGTTCTGAATTGGATCAAAAGAAATTATTAGGGATTCAGGGTACCAAATTCAGAAGTTAAGTATGTTTTGCTGCTCTGGCTACTACTTCATGCCAAGTATGGAGGAATATGAATGATTCCTGGAGTGTTAGAGCCGTACAGATAGATGGGTGGGTCCATTACTGATATCAAATGTAGTGTAAGATTAGGTAATTTGATATGCCAGAAAGTTGTGTTTGGTGTAGATTGTACAGTTGTAAATGCTGTTTTGGGGAGTCTGGTTATTTTGGGCCTTGTTGAGGCCTGCTTAAGTTGTTTTGGAGATAGTGAGTTTTTTATTTTATTTTTTTTATTTTTTTTTTTTTGGTGGGTGGGGGGTGGTGGTGTCCTTTTTTGGAAGGTTTATTCTGCTCACCAATGACCAATACCCCTTTGGTTGTAATTGAGTTATGCCGCAGTTTTAAAAAAACTCTTTACTTTTGATTTTGAGTCATTACTAGGCTTTACATTGGATTGTTGTATTCTATTTGTTTTTGTAAGATTTTTTTTTAATAGTTTATTAACATGTGATACAGCTCTTGGAATCCTTAAAATTTAGATACCAACAAGAAGTAGTTTACATGGTGTCATTTGGATGACCACTGGTTTTTTTAATGTTGTATGGTATCTAATGTCCAATGTTTAATGAATATCATCAGGTGGGTGCTACCTTTGCTTAACTTTCTTTTATTAAATATCATGCTTGTTGCAATTTGGCAAAAAGGATATGGATGGGCATGTACTTCTTACATGTTTTTATGGTTTTCGTCTTTCATAAGCCATTAGATTAATTCAATCTTCTCATTTACCCTGCTGTGCATTCATGTCATTCATCACACCAATTTTCTTTAATTCGAAGTATTACTAAAGAGACTACCCATTAAAAATTATATACTCCCTCCATTCCTAAATAAAAGCCTCGTTTCTCCCAAATTCATGTTTTAAGTAAAAACTACATATTTCATATTGGTGAAGTGGGGCCCATCATCCCTATTTAGTTTATTTATTCACTTTTGATCAACAATATCCCTCTAACTGCACTATATTTTCTCTTTCGCAAAAAACAATATACTTTCCCTTGTACTTATTATTATTCAACTTTAATCAACTATACCCCATTACTTTCCTCTCCTAAAAATCCATGCCTAACCGAAGGGTTTCTATTGCGGGATGGAGGGAATAAGTAAAAGTTTAAGATTAAAACAGAAAACACTATAATGGAATCCCACTCAATTGACAATTATTGTAACGTGTTACTAGTTGTGAAGTTCTACTATGGAAACTTGGAGTATGATAAGAGCCCTAAAGAGGTACTGGTTTAATAGTATGCTCTCATATGATGCATTATCATTGCAGTTTAAGATCTCTAAATGTCACAATATATACTAGCAAACAGAGTAAACTTTGTGATCTTTTGCATTTTGTTGATTGTGAATTCATCTTTTGCAGCCAATAACTGACGGAAATGTGGATCCAGCTGTATTAGCAGCTTTGCCTCCATCTATGCAGCTTGATCTTCTTGTTCAGGTAAATCAGTCGTGTGGCTTTATTGTTTATTGCTGTGTATTTATTCCATGTCAACTGGGTCTTATGCTCTTTTGATTTTTGTTTTTTAGATGCGGGAAAGATTGATGGCAGAGAACAGACAAAAGTATCAAAAAGTGAAAAAGGTAGCTTGCTGAAGTTTTAAAGTATATGAAATGATAGTTAGGAGATCGGTTTATAATGTTTTTTCTTAAAAAAAAATTTGTTTCCGTTAGTTGTTTCTGTTAAGCCTTTGAATATTCAGTTGAACCTCAAAAGTTTCTTTTGCTAGTATGTTTGTCATTGAAAATTCTTCACTATACAACTTTCAATGACTTAAACTCACTGGTTACATACAGATATGAACTTGTGAATAACCCCATTATAATGAAGGCAGAAGAAATAGTGACCTACCATAAGTGCTTTTATTTCTCTGATTCGATGATACGTCCAGAACAATTAGGTAGAAGGAAAACTGCTGATTAAAAATTCTTGGTTAAAATCCAGGAGGCTTTCTTATGATTTAGGTTATATCTTCAATTTTTAGTGTCTGTGGAGGACATATATGTATTTTATGCTACAAGCTTACAATATTGATTATGTTGTCATGATGAAGGCTTGGAGTTTGAGGAATGAGATCTAAGGAGTGGTTTCTTTATTCCTGCTCATGTTATAGAATGCTTTAGTAGGCTACTTAGTTTTTTTTTCAGAAAGGTTTTGAAGAGGAAGGAGTAAATAAAAATTTTGGTGCTATTCCTAGGACAGGTAATTGTTAGAGAGTCAAGTGAAATCAATGCTGTCACAAGGAAGAAGCTTCATTTTAGAATTACAAGAAAAATGCTTATCCAGGAAGGCAAGCCTAGCAGTGCCAGGAGGTCAAGGAAGAGTTGCTTAAGTGAAGTCTAAAATAAAATTTTTCTTTTTGAGTGTTGGTGAAAGAGGGACTTTTAAAGGTAGGCTTACTTCTGTAAGGGTTGGAGGTGCTCTATGTTCTTTTTTCTTCTCTAATTGTTTATTTGTATATATGTTTTGACAGTATTTGATGGGAAGGGAATTTCTAATAATTGAGGGGTTAGTAGAGAGTGCTCTCTAGTTCTCTTTAGTAATATTTTGTGAGGGCATTAGCATAGTGAAGACTGGAGAAAAAGTGGAGCTACAGGTGCTTCCTGTTTCTATGATTTTTTTATTCTGTCTAAAACTATTAGCTGGAAGGAACATTACAGATTAAATTTCTTGATGAGAGTCCAGGAGGCTTTCTTGAGATTTATGTCATATCTTCTATTCTTAGAATGCCTTTGTGGAGGTCAAACATATATTCTAAGCAACAATAACTAATTATGTGGTCATGCAGAAGGTTTGGAGAAGGTTTTGAGTTTGAGAAATGAGATCTAATGAGTGATTTTCTCTTTGCTAGGGCTACTTAGCTTTTTCTCAGAAAGGTTTATGAGATAAAGAAATTTAGAATTTTTTTTTTTCCGGTGTTCTTACTTCTTAAGACAGTTATCAGAGAAGCAAGTGAAATCAATGCAGCCATCAGTAAGACCATTAACTTCAGAATCCAAAGGAAAATGCTCAGCTCGGGAAGGGGAGCCAAACAGTGTCATGTTGGTTATATTAGACATATGAATGTGATTCTTAAATGGGCTACCTCTTCAAGGGTTTGAGGTGCTCTATGGTCTTCAGTTTTGTTCTCTCTTATTGGTCATATTTTATGTCTATGTTATTCTTTCAACGACACTCAAAGAAATACGAGAATATATATTTTTTTCCTTAATTATGATAATATTCTGTCAAGCTTTAAGTTTGTAACTGGTTGATTTTAAGATATTAGTGCTTGTTGAACCTCTGAACTTTCACTTGATTTTTCCTTTTGGCTTTCATGCTAACTCTTTGATGCCCCTGTATTCAGTTTTGTTCCATTTCTTTTTGTTGTTCGGCTTGTTCCTGTTTGAAGTCTTTCCTTTTAAGATCTGCCTTTTACCTATATTACCCCCAAATGGCCCACAAAATAGGTCCACTAGTCTACTTACCCACTTTTTTTAAAATCATATTTTATACCCTAATGTCCTGCTTCCAGACAAACCGTGTTACAGACTTGCAGTTTTACAGAAATGCAGAATGCATTAAGCCCTTTTGCTTATGTGTTTATGTTTGTATATGTCTTGCATCTACCTAGGCTCCTCAGAAGTTTTCTGAACTCCAAATTGAAGCATATCTTAAAACAGTTGCATTCCGCCGTGAAATTGATCAAGTTCAAAAAGCTGCTGCCGGGAGGGGGGTAGCTGGTGTTCAGACTTCTCGCATTGCGTCTGAATCTAATAGAGAATTTATATTCTCATCATCCTTTTCTGGAGATAAACAGTAAGCCTCTTAATTTATCATTCCATGAAGCTGCCTTATTAACGTGATGCATATTAAAGAATGGTCCCTGACGTTTTGCATTGAATGCACCAGACTTCTTGCATCTGGTGGAGCTGAGAAAACACCTGAGATTCAACAAATGAAGGATAGGAAGGATTCTTCCTTTGATATTCTGAATGCCATGGCTTCTGCTTCCAAGTTTATGACAGAAGCTGAACCAGCTGTTGATGAAGCTGTCCAAACATTTGTCGATGAGAGAGGGCATAGGCGTGTCAGTAGCAGAAGAGCTATGGGCATTCGTATGACAAGAGATTTGCAGAGGAACATAGAATTGATAAAAGAACTTGAACAAGAGAGGACAACTGTGACTATTGAAGCAAACGCACAGAATAACCCTGATATGGAAGTTCATGAATTTCACTGTGATGGCAAATTTAATGAGGCTGTGAATGAGTTTAACTGTGACATTGAACAAAACAGCAATGTGAACTCGTCATTAGAGCCTGCAAACAATAAAGATGCACAAAATAGTGAAACTTGTATAAAGATAACTTTTGATGCTGATGCTGATGTGAAGCAAAGATCTTTGGATAGTGATGATGAATTATTTGCTCATCTCGTGACAGGAGATCAGGTTCCAATTTGTTCCATTGACAATACTACTTCAGATTGTGAATGGGAAGATGGTATGATTAGTGGAGAAAGTGGGATTTTAGTTGATGGGAATATATTGGCTATAAATTCTTTTCATGTGCAAGATGGAGATATGAAGGAGTCTGATGTGGAATGGGAGGACAGTACTAGTCTTATGAATGGTGAATCTGATATGAAGTCTTTTGACATGAAAGACATTAAAGGCAAAGAGATCGGAATGGAATGGCAGGAAGGGCTCACTACTACTGGCGTCCAGAAAAATGCTCGGTCACTTTCTTCTGATGACCTGAAGACTATCTCGAAAGGGTCAGCAGAAGAAGAAGCTGCTTTGCAGGAGGCTATAAGGAGGAGTCTTGTGGATTTAGCTGGTGAAAAGTCGAGTTGTGTATCATGTGATCTGAAGGCTGATGGCTGTGCATGCAATCAACAATTACAGTTGGAAAGCTGCAATCCTTTAACTAGCTCACATCTAGAGAGGCTTTTGGATGGTCATCAGCCATCTCAGTCATTTGTTAAAGAGAATGATCAATCAAATTTGTTGTCTAGAAAGGATATCTGTGCTTCTAGTAAACTTGGCATGCACTCAATATCACCAGCATTTGTTACTGCTGTACCAGCCCCTCACATAGATACTAAAAATGACCTGAATGAGCAACAACTGAGTACTAGCCCAGAAAATGCCCAGATTAGTAATCTGGCTGAGAGTGGTTCCAGTACCCCAATAGACATGGCTGCTGGTGTACCTGTTACACTCCTTGAAAATGATGTTGATGACATTACAAAAGAAAGAGCTGCTCCAGCATGTTATTCTGGTGTACTACCTGAAAATTTAGTTTGTCAGACAGCCTCCATTTTAGAGAAGCAGACGGTGCATTGTGATTTTAAAAAGACTCAGGGAGCAGATGATGCCCACCTTGTAAGCATGCAAGAAAGAAGCCATGATGCAGAGATTACTGCATCCAAAGATGAGGAAAGCACTCTTGAACCCCAGGAAGTTAATGTGGAAGATGAATTATTAGTGCTTGATCAAGAATATAAAAATCTTGGGGATGAGCAGAGAAGGCTTGAGCGCAATGCAGATTCTGTTAATGCTGAAATGTTTGTGGAATGTCAGGTAATTGCTAAAGCTCCGTTGTTGGTTTAATTGTATACTTTTCTAACAGTAATTCTATACTGTATACTATACTAAAATCTGGATTGATTATTAGTTCATCTGACGCACATATACTATTCTTTTTAATTCCTAACAGTAGTTCATCCACTTATACTATACTATATACTATAAGTGGATGACATGCAGACTCAAACTCACGACCTCAAGTTTATCACTAGGAACTTATCTAATGAGCTATATTATACTCCCTCTGTTCTTTTATGTTCTACTCACTTGCAATTTGTGTGGTCTCCTACGCACATGTTTGACCAATTATAACTTTAATTACGGGTTAAGATAAATTATGAAAATATGATATTTAGATACTAAACATTGAAACAATTCTAACAAGTATCTTAAATGATAGTTTTTGCTTTGTACATAAGCTGCAATAGATGGTCAAAGTTATTTTAGTTTGACCCAATGAATAGTAAGTGAGTAGAACAGAAAAGAAGCAAGGTAGTATTACTGGTTATTTTTGCTAAATTATTGTTGAATGTCAATACAATAAAGAAAAATATGTTTTGCTAACAAATTTAACTATAATTTTATGCATAATAGTATACTTCTCTCTGTTTTATTTTATTTTATTTTTTTTAATTGCATCATTTGGACTTTTACACTATTTGCACAATCTCCTCTGACCATCTCTAGTTAGATTCGTCTTGACATTTAATTTTCAAATATCAACTTTTTATAATTTTAACTAAAATATTGTTAAAGATATTAATGGCCAAAGTAATGCGTTGACAAGTGTGAAACCACAAATGGTGCAATTACAACAGCAGCAATAAAGCCTTAGTCCCAAAATGATTTGGGGTCGGCTAACATGAATCGTCATAAGGAAGTGTAAATATAAAGAAAGGCGCAATTAAAAATAATAATAATAAAAAAAATTGGAGGAAGGTTAAACCAGAGCATTGCTCGGGCTCAAATAATATTATCTTTAATATCACAATTTATATTTGATGAGAGAATGGAATTTTTTAAAATTCCATCTAAATGGCTAGGTTTACATTTACATGTGCCCTTTATTTGCCCCTCTACTGTCTGTGGGACATACATTAAGTCTCTTTTAATATTGTCAACCTATAGGAGTTGTTAATTAGATAGGTTTGTGACAGTGAAGCTATAAAATCCAATAGATAAGGTGATATCTATACTGGGGATTTAGTTTTTTGCATAGAACACACTACTTTCTGCCTGTAATTGATGGTGCTACATTAGCCAAACATGTATCTTAATATTGTAAAAGAAAGACGGACTGGAGAGTTACCTTCTTTCATAAGGTAGTGTTTATGAGATTGTCATTCAGCACCCTCCTGACTTAGTTGGGCGCCCTGGTGCTACTGTTTCATTGAATAAGGGTCCTGAAATTTGTAGTTATGCTATATGCTTTTCCATAGTGTTCATTTGTCAGGTCACAGATTTTCTTTCCACCATTTTATTCTCTTTGGAGCCATCAATTATCATCAAATTTCACAATGAATAATCACCAACAATGTTATTGGGAAATAAAGCTAAACAAATAAGAACAAAGCTTGTTGACATCGAGTGTGAAGCATATAATTCATTGTTTCCACTCTGGCTAGGTGATTTTTGACTGTGATCTTTACTTATCTGCTTTCTACACAACACTGAAGAAAACTGTTTGCTGACAAGTTTGTTTGCTTGGCTTAGGAATTGCTTCAAATGTTTGGCTTACCATATATTATTGCACCGATGGAAGCAGAAGCTCAATGTGCTTATATGGAGCTTGCAAACCTTGTAGATGGGGTTGTCACTGATGATTCTGATGTATTTCTCTTTGGAGCCAAAAGTGTTTACAAAAATATATTTGATGACCGGAAATATGTTGAGACCTACTTTATGAAGGTTGGCATCTGTTCTGATTATTTTGGTTCAACTTCAGATAACACCTAGCTTTTAAAAAAGATTAAATGTTATGTTTTCCTGGTCTTGTTTGATTCATTTTTCATATTTCTGCCTAAGTTGCAATTTACCGGATTTTGGCATGAGATTATTTACATTTCCCCTCTTTCAAATAACATACAAGTAAAAAAATAAAAAATTTGCTGATGCATATGGCTTTGCCAGGATATTGAAAATGAATTAGGTTTGAACAGAGAGAAGTTAATTCGCATGGCTTTGCTGCTTGGGAGTGACTATACTGAAGGTATTAGGTATGATGGAGGTTTTGGTGCCTAATGACAATTGCCTGCTTTCCATTATAAACTCTCCCCTTTGTTTGTGTTCTTAGATATCAATTTCTCTTTTTAGTCTGTGCTTTTCACTTTGTGAAGCTTTTTCAAATTGTCCTCCTTTCTTTTACTATGTTTCAGTGGAATTGGCATTGTCAATGCTATTGAAGTTTTGAATGCATTTCCCACGGAAGATGGATTTCATAAATTTCGTGAATGGATTGAGTCACCTGATCCAGCAATTCTTGGAAAAGTGGGAGTGCAGTCAGGCTTGAGCTCAAAGAAAAAAGGGTCAAAAGCTTCGAAGAATGGCACGAGTAATTCCAAAAGTGGTATGGAAGGAAACTCTGCAGCTGATTCTAACACTTTGCTGGATCATGAGGAGGAAGAGGCTAGGAATGACGTCCAAAATTTGAAGCAAACATTCATGAATAAGCATGTAATGCCTGTGTTCATTTATTTAGGCGGCACTCATTCTGTCATTTGCTACTATGGCTAAATTGCTTTCATATTTTTGCCTTATTTTGGTACATGCAGAGAAATGTGAGCAAGAATTGGCACATCCCTCCTTCTTTTCCTAGTGATGCAGTGATCTCTGCATATGCAGCTCCACAAGTAGATAAATCAACTGAACCTTTTGCGTGGGGAAAGCCTGATGTTTTTTCGCTACGCAGGCAAGTGTTATATTATTAGTTAGTATTATTTTCTGCTGTCATTGCAATTTTTTAGTGTTAAACTTTTAATATTTAACTTCTTATCCTGGGTAATTATTTGAAACCTGCTTCTTTTTTCAACATGAGCATTTATAGTATGTTATAAGGGAATATATTATTGCAGTTTATTTGAAAGTAGCAGAAGTGCATTAGTAACGTGTTATGTCTGACTGTAGATTGTGCTGGGAAAAGTTTGGATGGGCTAGCCAGAAGGCTGATGAGCTGCTTTCACCGGTCTTAAAGGAGTACAATAAGCACGAGGTCAGTACCTCTAGTAATCAGTTTGAGAACTCAAGCATTGTGCATTTTGGCAATCTTGTATCTAGTATTTAAAAAATTGGAGAGATTTCTCAAAGGTGTACATAGAGGAACATTAAGATTTTCTGTTCAGAGTTTACTTCTTAGTTGATAATCAAACCAGATTATAAATATGTCAAATTCAAGCCCAAATGGAAGCTTTACCATTCGTGTTGCTCTTGTTCATGGTTATGGACTTATGGTCTCGCTCATGGATAAACACTTAAGAGAGATTGTGTTGGTTAACAGCTTGTGCAAACTTTTAATTTTTAATAGAATTGTTTGCACATATTTCTACGCTTCAAGCTATATAGCCGAATTTGTGTCATGGTGCATCTTCGCACAGGCATTTGCTTTTGGTTTTTTGTCATTTTGGATCATCTTCTTATACCTTTGCTGCATTCTTTGCCATTCATAATTTTGTCCATTAGATGGACCTGAGGTCTCAAATCTCAATCACTGACTTTATGGCTTCTTTTGTCTTTTGGTTTTTGAAGACGCAATTGCGACTCGAAGCATTTTATACTTTCAATGAGCGATTCGCCAAAATCCGCAGCAAGAGAATTAAGCAAGCTGTGAAAGGCATAACCGGAAAACAGTCCACAGGCTTGGAAAAAGCTGATGATTTGCAAGAGAATCCTGCAAAGATGAAGAAAGCTGAAGCACGTGCCAGTGTTAACACAAGGAAAAAGTCTCTTTCAAAAAGAAAAGATTATGTTGTTGGATCACGAAACAAATCTGCTAAAAAGTATAGATCACTACAGCAGGAGAATAAAGAGGATGGGCTGTCAGCCACAGGAGTCTGTACCGAGGCTGAAAAACAGAGTATGAGGGATGCTGGAAGCAGTAGAGTCAGAGGTAGAGGAAAAAGAACAGCTGTTGGTAAAGGTAGGCGAAAGGAGAATTTTGATTCTGAGTGTGATGAGACCAGTATAGATGATCACAACAGCAACAGTGATGAGCATGAACATGAAGTGCTATCTGAAATCATTGAGTCTCCTGATAATGTTCGAAGGGTATGCTTTTTCCCCCCTCTGCCTTTTCATCTTTCCTTGCTGTTGGTTAGGTGCTAACTAATATGGATTAGCAGCAAATTACAGATTACATCTAGTCCTTGGTTGAAAATTGACACGGAATGTTCTTGACTAGACTGGCAACTGTATGGACCTGTTGATTTGCCAACTCCAACTAAATTTTATTGCATTAATATCTTTATCATGCAAATTTATTTTGAGGATGGTGGTGGGAAGAACTGCTTTTGAAATCCTTCTTTTTATTTTTGAACTCAACTTTTTTTATCAGCGCACTCTTAGTTATAGTGATCTAATGGTTTGACCAGCTTGTGCTGTTTTACCAAGTCTACTGACACATTAAATGGCACACTTTTCAATACTGAAATAGTTAAATCTCAAACCTTAATATTAAAACCAATAGGTTTTCCATGTTTGATTGAACTGGGGATCATGAAGCAAGTTTATGTTGAAGTCAAGTCGTCAAGATGTTTAAAGTGGTGACCACTATTCTCCAGTGCTGGACAGAAATGTCTTATTGTATATTTGAACTGTTAATTCTACAAAGTAGCCTCAAAAGATGATCGTTTTGTCCACGACTCCATTCCCAGGGACTGAAAATATCATTACTTGTCAAGTTGCACCATTCTTTTATTTTTCACAAAGGTTGGTTTCTTTGCATCTGCAGTCAAAGCGTGCCCGGAAAGCTGCCAACTATGTGGAAGAAGATGATGAAAGTGATGAGCTACTGACTTCTCTAAATGAGACGGACAAGAATAGTGAAGGAGCAGGTGGACGTGAAGCTGATACGGCTAATGTTAATGCAGAGAAAGACTTCATGTCTGGAGATCTTTCTGGTCCTGGCTTCCCTGGAGACTACTTAGTAATGGGTGGTGGATTCTGTCCTGAAGAAGACGAGGCAGAAATAGATAGTAATCTGTTAGGTTCTATCCAGATGGACACTGCTATTGTTGATGTAGATGGTGAATATTTGCAAATGGGCGGTGGGTTTTGTGTAGATGATGAAGATGATCCGAATTTCCAAGAACGTGATGGAGGTGGAGCATCCACTGTAACTGATGCTCATGTTTCCACTGTAACTGAAACTGAAGAACATGGCCTAACAATTGATCCTTGTGAAAATTCCTCAGCTCCAGTGAGTGTTCTCGATACAGCCGAGGGCTTGCAAAAAGGCTTCTCGTGTGATGTTAATCTAAATCTTGATAAACTCCGAACCTTTGATGACAATTTGCCTAATGTAGCCAACATTGCTGCTCCAACTTCTGTGAACCCATTTAGTGCTCTTCCATATTTGAAAAAAAAGAAAAAGAAACCTTGATACCCGGAATCTCTGCTATATTTTAGGTTTTGCTGTTGTAAATAGTATATACCACAAGATTTTAGGAAGAAGCTCAATCCTAAAATTATTTGGTTAGTCCTTTCACCATGGTTGTACCAGGCCCACCACTACTATTAATAGTTGTTTATTGGCCTCTTTTTGTTATTCTCCCATAAATTTGTTGGCTGCATTTTTTTCCCCTGTATTTTATATTCAGTTTTGTTTTAGAATTTTCTCTGTCAAATTTCCTACAATATTTTAAATAAATAATTAAATCACCACCTTTTGCCTCTTTTCAGTCATTTTTTCAGCCCATTTTTTTTAATTCCCCTTCTTTTTCTTTTCTTCTATTCTATCGATTTTCCTCTCTTACTATTCTATCCTTACTCTACTCTAGTCTTCCTTCATTTAATTTCTTCATCTTTCAATATTAATTCACTGTCAATTGTTCAACCTCCCCACCATTTAAGAAACCAAACCCTAATTTTTTTTCCTCACCAACATCATAATTGCACTACTGTACTTGCAATATCTTGAAAAGGGGAAAGAGGAAGGACAAGTTGTCATCTTTAGTAGTTGAGAGGGGACCAGAAGGTGGGTATCTTTGCTAATGCACTGCTGTACTTGCAATATTTGGAAAGGGGAAAGAGGAAGGACAAGTCGCCATCTTTGGTAGTTGAGAGGGGACTAGAAGGTATGTATCTTTGCTGATGACATTGCATTGAACATCAAAGCTGATTCCATAACAAAGAACTCCAATTTAATTTTACCAGGAACCCTAATTTTAGAAAACCCCCAATTTAACTGTACCAAGAAGCCTAATTTTAGAAAACCCTCAATTTAATTGTACCAAGAATCCTAATTTTACAAAGAACTGAACTTACGTGATTGTGACTTCAGTGTCTGCACTTGTGGGAGAATTCTTCAAATTAAAACTTGCAAAAATGTCTGAATTTGAAGGTAATTAATGATTTCGAAATTGTGGAGGAGTTTGAAGAGTAGTTTTATAGAACAAAATCGGGGGCAAAAAATTGAAATAGGGTTAAACTAGCCGTTAATAGCCGTTATGTGGGCCCCACAGCCGGAAAATTGACCAGGAAGAGGCAAATGTGGTGATATAATATTTATTTAATTTAATGGGTGGTAATTTAAAATAAATTTTATATAGGTGGTAATTTCAAAATGTGTATATTTAATGGGTGATAAAATACAAAATTTCCTTATTAAAGTGTATTTCCTTATAAATTTCCCGAGGAAAACACAACCTCATGTAACGAAATTCTCAATACAATGTGTGCTCCCACAATGGCACAAATGATTAAAAAACAATTTACCACTTCGTTCTATATTCCACCAAATTTGGAGCTTAACAATGAAAATAAATTAAAATAATGCAACATTCTATGCAACTCAATTTAAATTAGAAAAAAAAAAAAGAATAATCCCACCTTTGCACGACCTGCTCAAAACGAGCCAACTTTAACTTTTGTATAATGGAACGGGAAGGAAGGAGGTGGTTTTCAAGGTGGGAGAATGGGAAGGCAGCTATCTTTTATTTTTTATTTTTTTTTTAATTAATTCTTAAAAAAATAGGACCGATTAAAAGGTGACACATGACTATTCGCCTTCTAAAAACGGTTAAGGGACTGTTTTGAGAAAAATAAGGCTGTTGAAAGGTGGGCTAGTTCCTATAATACACAAAGGTTGGCTCGTTTCGAGCAAATTACGCAAAGGACGAATTTTTTATTTTTTTTCATTCATATATTTTCCTTTATATTATTTCCTTTATCAAACATGATTCTTGGAAATGTTTTTGCCTGGAATTAATCTGGTTTTTCCTCGAACTAAAAATATAACTATTACATTTGACTATTAAAATTTGTAAAAATTAGGAGTATAAGAAATAGGTAACAAGTACTCCCATAATTTTTAAATTATTTCCTTATTGTTTTTGGGTCTTTTTATTGCTTGATTGACATATACAAATTCTAAATTCATTGAGCAACTAAAAACAACTTGATAAATCATTGAAATTTGAAGCTATACAAATTATTAGTTCGTATATTCTTAAGAATTACATTTAGTCATTATAAGTCTTACACATGAACTTAATATTTTCTCTCATGTGCATTTTCTCTTGAGAATGTGTCTTCATGTCGAACTTAATTTCTCAAACTATTGATTAGGATAATATATTGTAGTAGAAATTTGCTGCTTTTTTTTTTATTTATTATTATTATTATTATTATTATTTTTTTAATTCACTCAACTTTTACTGGTTTCTAGAAACTTTACATGAAATAAAATGAAGAAAATGAAGATTTGAAGAAAAAGAAACTTGGTAGAAGAAGAGAGAAATGAAAGGAATATGAAATTATGCATCAATGATAGACTACTATATTTATTATTAGAGAAGGTATTGGGTGCGGACTGCCGTACGAAAAATTGCTTGCGGCAGGTTTGCTGATTGTAACACCTCCGATTTACTAGCTAATAATAAATAAGAAAAATAAACAACTTTTGAATAAAATTGCGGAAGCATACACCTACATCGGAGGTATTACCGCCACACTCAACAACTTGTCAAGTGTTAAGGCTTACAATATCCCAATAATTACAAGTCAATAATCTAGGTGAGCTATTTATACAACTTTACAAACTCGTTATAGCATACTAATCGAAACACTTGAGCTCCTTTAGCTACGATCACTTGATCAACCTACTTAGACAAACTTGACTGTTCACCATTATGGACAAATTCCAAAATAGATCGTCACAGGGCCATCATAAGAAAAAGACATGGCCCAAACACAAGTAGCACACACAAAAACAAAGTACGAATCAGCAAAAGCTTGAGTACATATACACCAATAAAAATAATCACACTAACATGAATATCCTAGCAATAAACACAAAAAAATAAATAAATAAAACATGTTTGCCACACAACACAAGTTAACTTACTTTTGACTCATGACTCTACTTTGATTTATTAATATATAGGTTTGGATAACGCATCGAACATGTTTCCTCCTTAAAAATAGTCCATTTAAATTATTAAATATTGAGCTTCTAATTAGGGAGCTACCCCAATTATCACCTACTATGTCACCTTGTGACGGAATTCCAGCGCATTAATAATAAAAGAAAGTACAGCGTCCGGTACCCCTGTAGATGCTATGATCAAATATAAAGTCACATAACTCCCCCCATGTGTTCATACTCAAGGTTTATAAGTTCCAAGAGTTTTGGTGCGTATCCTCTTACACTTTACCTGATTTACCAATTTAACTTGTGATGACTTCAACCAATCAATCAAGAACAAATATAATAACAACCAACACATACTTCCATTTCATTCTTGAAGTTATTAGTGAGCACATACTATTTATTTTAATTAAGGTTCCTTGCCTAGTTTTGTGCACAACATTGCACGATTACTACCTTGGTGCATAAAATGCACAACAAACTTCCTTGACTCAATCTCAACTTATGTAAGTGAGTAATAAACTAACTTTTCAATTCGACCTCAACTTATGTGCGTGAGTAAATAAATAAACCAACTTTCTTGACTCAACTCCAATAATAAATGGGTGAGAATAAAATCATGAATCATGCTCATTAAATATAACTTTAGCTCTTTTATACATATATAAGGCTTACTTAATAAATTCATGCCTTCTTGATAATGAATAATAAATAATATACATGATTCAATCTCTTTCAACTTGTATTAAGCTCATAATAATAATAATTTCAACATACTTACATGCTTACATGTAAGACATGAATAATCAATCAATCAATTCAAGTATCACAACACACTTAACATGATCCTAATCTCATACTTGATACCAAATTAACTTTCTAACATGGTATTATGCATAATTAATACATCCTACGCGGATACGTACCTCAAATCCTCTTTCCAACTAGCCACAATGCTAGAAATTACTCAACTTAAAGTCTCCTACAACACCAAATACATAAACTCAACTACTCTCTTGATTACACAAATTTCCAGCAACTTTTAAACACTTTAAAACCTCTCTAATAAGCTGAAATTTTAGTTAAAAACCTTTAAAACTCGTTCTTTAAGTGGGTAATTAAAACCCCTTAGTAAAAACTTATTCATGTTGTTTATATAAAAATTTAAGGGAAAAGTGCGTAATTCTACCGCACTCTACCCCCTTAAAGAAAAGAGTTACGCCCACGTAACTCCACTTAACTCAACTTTAGAATTGGGGTATTTCTTTCTCATTCTATCTTTGGTAAAATCATAATACTTCTTTATATTCATTCCTTGTTGCGAGTATCAATAATATTATCAATCCTTTACTCATCATGCTAAAAATAATTAACTTCCACTAAACCATCTTTTACCAATTCCTCAGTAAAAGTAATAAGCACTTTGCTATCCCTACCTTGAGTTGTTTAGCTTTCTCGTAGATAAACTTGGTTAAACTCAATAATTTCCTGTTATTTTTGTAAAAAGTAATAAGACGGAATATAAATCCGTCGGAATATATGTACATTCCGACGGATATTTTTGTCGGAAATTACTATTTCCGACGGATTTATATTCCGTCGAAAATTCCGACGGAATATATATATATATATATATATATATATATATATATATATATATATATATATATATAAAATCCTCATTTAAAATAAAAAAAACCCTAATGCATCCCTCTTTCTCAGTTTATCTTTCCGCCTCCTCCTTCTTTCTCTCTCCTGTTCTTTTTCCTCTTTGATCTTCTCTTTCTCTTTCCTCTTTTCTTTATCTTTCCTCTTCTCTTTCTGGCCTCTTCCTTCTCTCCTGTCTATTACTCTTCTTTCCCCTCCGATCTCAAACCACCACCACCATCGCATCTTTCTTCTTTCCCCTCCGATCTCAAACCACCACTGCCCACAACACCGGCACAACAATAACAATAATACCGGCACAACAACAGCAACAACATAGCCGCAACAACAACCACAACATAGCCGCAACAATAACGCACAAACAACAACAACGACTCAACAATATCCTGATCCAGTTTTTTTTTGTTTTTTTGTTTTTTTTTTTATTTTTTTAAAATTTTGAAACTAGTTAATTTTTGATGTCATTGTAATGTTAGTTTATAAATTTTGTTTAGTAATTGTATATTTATTTATTTCCTTAA